GAGACCAAAAAAAAAAAAAAAAAGGGCATTGAATCCCCTGAAACTGAAATGACAAGCAGTTGTGAGCTGTCCTACATGGAAGCTAGGAATCAAACCCAGGTCCTCTGAGCCACCTTTCAGTCCCAAATGTACTCCAAGTTTTATGTTCCAGGGGAGCCATCAGCAATGAAGACCAAAAGACCTGGAGAAAACTTCATAGAATTTTAGTGGTGAGGTTAAAGAATGGACTGTAGCTAGAGTTTTCCTGCCTGGCCCACAGTCAGGACAAATCTCTGACACCCGCCAGTCCCACAGCCATTTAGACCCAACCAAATAAACACAGAGACTTATATTGGTTACAAACTGTATGGCCGTGGCAGGCTTCTTGCTAACTGTTCTTACAGCTTAAATTAATCCATTTCTATTAATCTATACCTTGCCACGTGGCTTGTGGCTTACCGGTACTTTACATCTTTTTTGTCCTGATGGCGGCTGGCAGTGTCTCCTTCACCCAGCTTCCTGTTCTCTCAATTCTCCTCTCTGTTAGTCCCGCCTATACTTCCTGCCTGGCCACTGACCAATCAGTGATGTATTCATTGACCAATCAGCAACACATTTAACATACAGACCATCCCACAGCAATGGACTGCCAGACTTGGAGAAATTTGATTGGACAAAGTGGGATAACTTAAGCTAGTATTCTATCTCAGGAAGGTCATAATCAGAGTCCCAGTCAGAGTCCTGACTTGAGGTAACAGAGTGTCTACAATAAATAAGGTCCTGCCACTCAAGCCAGCAATGAAGTGGACAGTGGCAGAAGTGTTTGGCAGGATTGTAATCAATATGATGTTGTGGAAACCCACAATTTCAACCCATCTTTAAGATACTGACGTGAACTTTCAGTTTAAATAGAGGAGTAACAGGGATAGAGAGCAGTGCTCGCCAATCTGTGGTCTGATTGGTCAGTATCTCAGTCCTGCTCCTAGAAGGTGAAGCCACAAGATTCCTGTAACCAGAAGGTTTCTCCAGTCCCACCCAGCCCCACAGTCCTGCAACCACTTATAAAATAATCACTCAGGGGCTTAATATTATTTACAAACTGTATGGTCTAGGGCAGGCTTCTTGCTAGCTAGCTCTCTCATCTTAAATTAACCCATTTCTATTCATCTATGTTTTGCCACATGGTCATGGCGATACCAGTCTCCTGGCATCTTGCTTCTCCTTGGCTGCAGCAGCTGGTGCTCTCCTCTCCTTTCTTCTCTCCATATATCTGCTTGGATTTCCTGCCTGCCTTTTAGCTGCCTTGCCATAGGCCAATACAGCTTTATGTATCAACCAATCAGAGCAACACATATTCACAGCATACAGAAAGACATCCCACAGCAGATCCCTATTGCTTGATGGCTCCCTGAGATAACTGCTTCTCTTTGGGCAGGGAAGGGAGTTCTCTAATCATGAGGTAACATATCTGTGAGGCTCTGCTGTCCCAGGAGTCCCAGGTGATTGCAGTTTCAAGACAGGAACTAGAGACCTGCTTTTTCAGGGGGTCTTTACAGGATGTTTCTAAACAAACAAATTTTATTTTTAAAAAAGGAATATAGTAGAATAACTGAAAAATAGTGGTGTCTCAGTTGTTCTTTGTGATTTTTGCTTTGGAGGGGCCATGAAAGAGGTTAGGTGTCTCTAGTTTTTAGGTAGGATGATTCACTCACCTGCCTATGCTCAGAGTAGAGCAGGACTTGTCCAGAATGAAAGCAATAGATACAAAGTAAAGGCAGAGATGGCAGCCTTTCTTTTAGTTACTTTATGGACCCCAGAGGAGAATCAGTGCTTTTTAGGGAACATAGTTTCTAGGTAGTTGCTCTAAAATATGTCTGCCCAGATTCTTCTTCGCCTTTCTGTGTAGCTTTGCTTCCTAACAGACAGGGAGCCTGGTCTTGCCTGATGATGTTCTTCAGAATGAAGGGAGAGGGGGGCCTTTCTAACTTTTGTGGATTGCTTTGAGGAAGGAAGAAGAAAGAGGGGAGAAGAGTGTTGAGGATGTTGCCTCTGAGGCTCTTCCAAATCCCTTTAGTCCACAGCATTCAACATGCCGTGTTATCTTGAAATATCATGTTCTGAACCACACACCTGTATCATTATCATCTTAAATTTCAAAATTTTTTTCATTTTATAATTTTTATATAAATAAATTTCTAAAAATTAATATTCTTTATTCTGAATTATTCTAATGTATGAGTGATAGCACACATGTTATAATCATTAACCTTGTTTAAAATCCAAGGTCAAATGAAAGTGAGGCAATAATCTTTTGCTTCACATTTTTGGTAGGAAAATGGTTTGAAGACATCTCATTTGATCTTCAAAATTCTCTTGGGGCATAGATCTGCAGACTCAGTAATACATATCTTCATTCTTTGAAAATTACCTAAAATGTAAGATTTTGTTGTTGTTTGCTTATTTTTAAAGTTTTGCTTTATGTGTATGAGTGTTTTCTTGCATGTATATATATATGCACCACATGTGTGAAAGGTGCCCACAGAAGCCAAAAGAGTGTTTCAGCTCTCCTGAAATTAGAGTTACAGTTGTGAGCTGCCATGTTGGTGCTAGAAACCAAGCCTCAGTCTCTGCAAGGGCAACAAGTGCTAATACCCACTGAGTCATTGCTCCAGGCCCTGGAATGTAGTTTTTAAATAAAGTTGTTCCGTTTGCTAACACTGTTGGTGGACTTGTCACTAGATGAATAAGGACTGTTGATTCATGGTTCATGTCAAGGCGGACAGGAGGAAAATGGATCCAACTATGGTGTGCCTTTATCTGATTTTACTATCAACCTAAGTGTAAAATATAAGTGTCCTTGCTAAACATACAAGTAAAAAGAGTAAGTCAATATGATGAATGACAGAATCAATGTATGTCAATAATTTCTGTGATAAATAGTGAGACTTTCATGTAAGGCCATTCCATTATTGACATCATTCCATCACATATCACGTTATGTTGACAGGTGTCAAGAATAGTCTCTTGCCAAAAAGAATACTATATTAGTGTCATGTCTTCAGTCAATATGTCAAATTAATATGTCAGTCACTAAAGCATTTCTTTAAAAGTTAAAGAAAGCACAGACTCTCTGACAGAATGTCATTTATTTAAAAGAAATTTCCAAATATCTGAAAGTTAATTTACATAATATATCAATAGAATGTTAATAGAAAAAAAGGACAAAAACTACAGTCATTTTAGAAAATACAGATATTATTTGATAAAATATAAAGTCAAGCATGTCTTCTTCATGTTAAAAATACTCAGTAACCTAGGCATGGGAGAGAGCTTAGCCAATGTGATAAAGGCCATCTCTGTAAACCTCTAATAATGAAAGACTGTGTGTTCACCCTGAAATCATGAACAAGGCAGCTCTCACTACTTCTGTTCAGCATTGCAGTAGAGGGTCTAGCCACACCAATTAGGAAATAAAATTGAATTCCTCTAAAGAGAAACAAAGAATTAAACTACCTATTACTAATGTAAGAAATCCTACAAGACCCTCTGAAAACTATTAGAATTAATGAATGGGTTCAATAAAGTGAAGTACATAAGATAGTACATATATTGTATTTTATATGCATATATGTGTATTATCTTATACATGTATATAATCAATGTATCTCTACATACTAACAATGGGCAGTCCCAAACTGAAATTAAGAAAGCAATTCCATTTGTAATTGCATTGAAAAGAATAAACTACTTGGAATTAAATGACATTAAAGGGACACAAAAAGTATACTCTGAAAATCTTTAAGACATTGTTAGAAGAAATTAGAGAAGGCCTAAGTAAATGGAAAGGATTCTAATCTGTGAATCGAAAGATTTATATTGTTAAGACAGCAGCTCTCCATAAATCAATCTACCAATTCAATATAATCCCTATGAAACTTCCAGCTGGCTTCATGACAGAAGTCAACAAGCTGGTCTTAGGATTCACATGGAAATGTAAAAGAGCCAAGATGGAGGAGACAGGATGAACAGAGAAAGCTGTGAGAGGGGTCCCAATCCCGTATTTCACTTTAGGCCTTTCAGACCAGAGCTTATTGTCAATATTATTTCTTCTTTATTAAGTCTAATTTCTTCATTAAAACAACCGAAAATTGCTCACTTTTCAAAGATGATATAAGTTACATCTCAGTAAAGATATTTAATTTTAATTGTTTAATTTTTTTTTCAAATATACAACTATCTTTTTTTTATTCTTTTTTTTATTTTGCAATACAATTCAATTCTACATATCAGCCACAGATTCCCTTGTTCTCCCCTCTCCCGCCCCCCTCACCTTCCCACCAGCTCACCCCCTATTCCCACCTCCTCCAGGGCAAAGCCTCCCCCACGGACTGAGATCAACCTGGTAGACTCAGTCCAGGCAGGTCCAGTCCCCTCCTCCCAGGCCGAGCCAATCGATCCTGCATAGGCCCCAGGTTTCAAACAGCCAACTCATGCAATGAGCACAGGACCTGGTCCCACTGCCTGGATGCCTCCCAAACAGATCAAGCCAATCAACTGTCTCACCCATTCAGAGGGCCTGATCCAGTTGGTGACCCCTCAGCCATTGGTTCATAGTTCATGTGTTTCCATTCATTTGGCTATTTGTCCCTGTGCTTTATCCAACCTTGGTCTCAACAATTCTCGCTCATATAAACCCTTCTCTTTCTCGCTAATTGGACTCCCAGAGCTCCACCCGGGGCCTAGCCATGGATCTCTGCATCCAGATCCCTCAGTCGTTGGATGGGGTTTCTAGCACGACAATTAGGGTGTTTGGCCATCCCATCACCAGAGTAGGTCAGTTTGGGCTGTCTCTCGACCATTGCCAGCAGTCTGTTGTGGGGGTATCTTTGTGGATTTCTGTGGGCCTCTCTAGCACTTTGCTTCTTCCTATTCTCATGTGGTCTTCACTATCTTATTTTATGGTTTCTATAATGGCATAATTCCCAGCTGCTTTTCAGGTTCAACACTATAAATACTCAATAGAGGTGAATGTGCAATATTTAATTAGTTTTTACAATTTCATTTCTCATATCTTTAGAAATATTTGCTTACTGTTTCATTTATTTGATGAATAAATGTAAAAATAGTCTTGGCTTCTTTGTCAAAAATCAGGTGTTCATAGGTGTGTGGGTTAATGTCAGGGTCTTCAATTTGATTCCATTGGTCCACATGTCAGTTTGTATGCCAATATCAAGCTGTTTTTATTACTATGGCTCTATAGTATAGCTTGAAGTCAGGGATGGTGATGCCTCCAGAGGTGGCTTTGTTGTACAGGATTCTTTTAGCTATCCTGGGTTTTCTGTTTTTCCAAATGAAGTTGAGTATTATTCTTTCCAGGTCTGTGAAGAATTGTGTTGGGATTTTGAGGGGGATTTCATTGAATCTGTAGATGGCTTTTGGCAAGACTGCCATTTTTACTATGTTAATCCTACTTATCCATGAGCATGGAAGATCTTTCCGTTTTCTGATCTTCTTCAATTTCTATCTTCAGCGACTTAAAGAAGCCAAGACTGTACAATGGAAAGAAGAAAGCATCTTCAACAAATGGTGCTGGCATAACTGGATGTCAACATATAGAAGATTGCAAATAGATCCATATCTATCACCATGCACAAAACTCAAATCCAAGTGGATCAAAGACCTCAACATAAAACCAGTAACACTGAATCTGATAGAAGAGAAAGTAGGAGGTAGTCTTGAACACATTGGCACAGGAGATCACTTCCTAAATATAACACCAGTAGCACAGACACTGAGAGCAAAAATTAATAAATGGGACCTCCTGAAATTGAGAAGCTTCTGTAAGGCAAAGGACGTGGTAAATAAGACAAAATGACAGCCTACAGAATGGGAAAAGATTTTCACCAACACCACATCTGACAGAGGGCTGATCTCCAAAATATATAAAGAACTCAAGAAACTAGACATCAAAATAACGAACAGTCCAATTAAAAAATGGGCTATAGAGCTAAATAGAGAATTCTCAAAGGAAGAATTTCAAATGACCAAAAGGCATTTAAGGAACTGCTCAACATCCTTAGTCATCAGTGAAATACAAATCAAAATGACTCTGAGATACCATCTTACACCTGTCAGAATAGCTATGATAAAAAACACTGAAGACAGCTTATATTGGAGAGGATGTGGAGCAAAGGGAATACTCCTCCACTGTTGGTGGGAGTACAAACTTGTACAGCCACTTTGGAAATCAGTGTGGCAGTTTCTCAGAAAATTGGGAATCAATCTTCCTCAAGACCCAGCTATACCACTCTTGGGCATATACCCAAGCAACGCTCAATCATACCACAAGGGCACTTGCTCAACTATATTCATAGCAGCATTATTCATAATAACCAGAACCTGGAAACAACCTAGATGTCCCTCAACTGAAGAATGGATAAATAAAATGTGGCACATATACACAATGGAATACTAATCAGCAGAGAAAAACAGTGACACCATGAAATTTGCAGACAAATGGATGGATCTAGAAAATATCATCTTGAGTGAGGTAACCCAGACTCAGAAGGACAAACATGGTATGTGCCCACTCATAAATGGATACCCTTAAAGCAAAGGATAATCAGACAACAAACCACAACTCCAGAGAAGCTAGCTAACAAGGAAGACCCAGAGAGGGATGCATGGATTGCCCTGGGAAGGGGAAATAGATGAGATCTCCATGAGCGAAGTAGGGGTGAGGGGTGGGCAATGGAAGGTAGGGGGTTGGGGATGAGATCATAAAGGAAATGGGATGGTTGAGCTGGAACAGGGATGGAGGGGGAAGGCAATGAGAGAGATACCATGATGGAGGGAGATATCACGGGGATAGAGAGAAACCCAGTGCTAGGGAAGTTGCCAGGAATCCCCAAGGATGACCCCAGTTTAGACTACTAGAAATAGTGGAGAGGGTGCCTGAACTAAACTGGCTTGCCCCAATGATCAGATCAGTGAATACCCTGTCATCACAAAGCTTTTCTCCAATGACTGATGGAGGCAGATGCACAGATCCACAGCCAAACACCAGGCAGAGCTTCAGGAGTCCAGTCAGAGAGAGAAGGATTCTATGAGCAAGTGCATGATGAGGAAACCTGCAGAGATGACCAAACCAAACTAGTGGGAACTCATGAAAGTTGCATCAATGGCTGTGGAGCCTCCATGGGATTGGACTAGGCCCTCTGCATGGTGAGACAATTGTGTAGCTTGATTTGCTTGGGGGGCCCCTGGCAGTAGAATCAGAATTCATCCCTGGTGCATGAGGAGGCTTTTTGGAGCCCACTACCTTTGATGGGACATCTCATGCAGCTTTGAGGCAGGGGGAAGGGCTTGGACTTACCTCTACTGGATGTGCCTCCCCCTGGGAGGCCTTGTCTTCTTGTGGGGAGGGAATGGGGGGTCAGTTGGGGGAAACCCTGGGGGTGCTAAAGGAGGGAACAGGGGGATCTCTGATTGGTATGTAAAATGAAAAAAAATCTTAATAAAAAATGAAAAAATAAAAACATATATAAAGTAAATGTAAGTTACCAAAAAAACATCCATTTTGTTGATTTATTGTACAACTGAGGAGAGATTGAATGTGGACAGTGCCAAATTAAAATAGACAGATTTTTTAAAAGTATAGTTAAAACCCCAGATGTTCTCCGTACCATGACATTATCACATCTACATGAAGATCAAAAGGTTTTCATGTCAATATATTTGACTGAAACAATTTTTCTTTAACATCACCTACAAAGACTTGCAGGATTTTAGAGCTACAATGATGCCAGCTTCCCAAGACTAAAGAGAAAACAAGATATTGAATTTTTCATTTAAAGGAATTTCTTTCACATACTTACCCAGCACAGGTGAAACCCCATCAATAATTCTTGGAGTGTTACTATCTTGATTCATTCCTCTCCAAGTAGCATTCTCATTTCAGAAAATACTTTTTTAACAAACTGAGTTTACAAGTAGAGCCATGTGACCATGTTGGCATCGTTCACCTGTTAAGGTTTCACTAAATATTCATGCCCCAAACTGTGCACTGTTTTAAGGACTTTCAATTACTTTGTTTGCTTTTTTTTCCAAACTTTTGAATGTTTCTACTATTTCATTCATTTGTGGGGGTGTGTGTGTGTGTGTGTGTGTGTGTGTGTGTGTGTGTGTGTGTGTGTGGTGTATGCCTATGTAGATGTGTGTGGCTATGGCATGTATTGTGCAGGCCGTAGGTAGATATCAGGTATTTTCTTCAGTCACTCTCCTCATTTTTTGAGACAGGATCTCTCACAAAACCTGGAGCTCTCCAGTTAAGCTGCCCAGTGAATTCTCTGGCCAGTCCCTATAGCTGGGGTTACAGATGTATGCTCTTTTAACTGAGTGCTAGAAATCCTAAGCCAGGACCTCATGCTTATACAACAAGCACTCTATCATGGAGGCACCTCTCCAGTCTTATTTCATTTATTCTTAATGTTTTTTAATGTTTTCTTCACCCCTAAGTTCCCTTAGTGAAATCATCAGATTTTGAAGAATGTATTTCTAATAAAATATTAGTTCAATATTTATCTTTTAACTTTTAATTCTGTATTTTTTTGTTATTTTTTGACAGATCTGAATGATTCCTGTTTATTACATATAGCAGATAGTGAAAAGCACCTCCAAACTTTGTGACTCCTCCTTTCTGGGTGTCAGTATGCAAGAGTGTGTTGTAAATTCTTATATTCTGAAATAGTAGAAGGGAGTCTCGTGCAAGAATTACAACATAGTCATTCAAAATCATGTGACAACTACAACTCAGACTATTCAAATACAGTAACAACCAAGACCCAATGTGATCTTCCTAAAGGGCAAAGAGTTTGTTGAGACCTCGCTGCACATCTACCTGAGTCCTGGATCTTCCACCTGGTCCCAGAGCTACAAATCCTAGATGTTGCATGGCAGGTGGCTCATTTATCAGGGGTTGTTAAGATGGCCTACATCATTTTCCTTGAACCAGTGAACTCATGATACTTATAAAATAACCTTAATACTTTTCCCTTGTTGTTATAATGAATTTTCCAGGTAGTACAGAAGTATTTCAACATTTGAACAAGAAATATGGCAATGAGCTATTGACCCTAAGTCTGTGTGAGTGTCTCCTTACAGAGGATAAGAGACTTATTATTAATAAAATACTAGTGTGCTCTGGTGTGAACTTGGTCTGTGGGAAACTGACATGAATGGGGAATACTTCAAGAAAGATGATGGCTCTTCCTTGGTACTTTTGTTAAAAGTTTTCATCAAGGTAGAGCTAGCAGTTCATTGAGTTTCCCTATAGATTAACAGACAGGTAGGCTCAATCTATGGAAGTGCACTATCAGTGAAGGTTTATCCTTCCCATTCACTTGTGTGTGAGAAAAACATACATGCATGAATTCCTAGATAGTTTGTTCCAAGGCGTATTAAAAAAAAAACTATACCTCAGAGTAGGAAAAAAGTCTCCTTACCACATCATTGTTAAATGAATTATGACCCACATATAATGTAGAGACAAAGCAGCCAAAAATAAAAAGCAAAAATCGCCAGTTTCTACCAGCCTGACTGCTTGAAGATTGACCCAGTGACTTGTGATGCCTTATACAATATCTAGAGCCTAACTTCTAAGGACATCCCAAACAGCCTGTCCCTAGAGACAACGGCTGGTACAAATGTTACTACTTAACAAATTAGCAAGCAGCCAGCCTGTGGCTGAAGACTCGGAGTCCACACCTATGGCGTGTGAGGACACACCAAGTAACACCCTCCCAACTATGTAAACGACTCCCACCTCCTTCTCTTGTAGCATACCTGGTGGGGCTGTACCAGAGTCCATCTGACAAACTTCCTACTTCTTTTTTCCGTTGATGCTTTGCTGGGCTTGTTTCCATCATCTATACCTGGCACCCAAGAGGCAGACAGTGCTAGGCAACCCTTAAGCTCAGTGATATTCTAGAAAAAAGTAAGTTGTAATTATGAGAAGTTTACTCTCCTGCTTGAAAAAATAACTGAAGACCAGGACTAATACTGGGAAGTTCACCCTCTGACCTCAGTGGCTAAGGGTTGGGAGAGGAGATACCTTGGGACCTCAGTGGCTAATAATGGGAAGAGGACACGCCCTGCTACCTCAATCAATTTCTTGTACATTATCAGTGCTGGAACAATCAGAATGTGAGAGCAACCTTCCTTTTTTCTTTTTTCATCCCTGGACTGAAATTCCACATGCATTGAGTTAAATAATATCCTTTCATTTTAAATCTGTGTCACCTGACACCTCAGAATATAATCCTTTTGAGAAATAACATTTTTGCAAATAAAATTAGCTGAGGATCATTCCATATTTAGAGCAGACTCTAAATCCAATGATTGATGTCTGAAAGAAGACATGACAATAGAGAGACACACAGAGAGGAGCAAGAGGAAGGAGGCAGGGCTGCCAAGATTCAGCTGCAAAGAACGACAAGGATTGATGGAAGCTGCCAGAGGCCAGGAAAAGGCAATCAAGCTAATCTTCCCCTGGAGCCAGGATCATGTCAGTACTGTGGTTTTGGACTTCTCACCTCCAGAACTGTGAGAGAATACATGTCTATTGGTTTAAGGCATGAAGTTTGTGGTGATTTGTTATGTCAGCCCAAACGGAACGTTAAGAAGAAAGCTGAGGTGAGATCTAGAAGGTGGAGGGGAGAGAATCAAGCAGTTGCTTCGCTGCTGAGTGGACGGCATAGTGTTATCATTAAACATAAAGCATCTGCATGGTGTTGGCTGCCATGATGAGGTCTAAAGGGAGATTGCACTCAGAGCTCACTTGGACCACTTCCCACTACCACTGAAGGGATGGAAAGACTAAGGCCTAAACTGAGATCAGACTTAAGTAAAAAGTCTAGCAGCTGGTTTTGAACTTTCAGATATATATCCCAGATGACTCTCCCAGTTCTCATCCCCCACTCCTCCCACACTTTTCATGAATCAAATTCAGGATGGCAGAGAATTTACTACTGTGGAAGATGAATAATAAAGGATACTACATATATTCCACAAAATATGTATGTAACAACATATAGGAGAAATAGAAAAAGAAAAACCCAAGGAAAAAAGGGGATGAATAATACACAGAAAAGAAATTATAAAATACCAAAGCCAGAAGGGCTAGTGAGATGGTTCAGCTGATAAAGGCACCTGCCACCAAGCTTGATGGCCAAGTTTGATCCCCAGGACATTATGGCTGAAGGGAAGTGAGAACCAACTAATGGGAATGTTCTCCAACCTCCTCACATGTACCCTGGCATGACCTGCACACACACACACACACACACACACACACACACACACACACACAGAGAGAGAGAGAGAGAGAGAGAGAGAGAGAGAGAGAGAGAGAGAGAGAGAATAAAATACAAAGAAAAAGAGGAAGAAGGTATCAGAGAAATATTTACCTCAAAGAAAGATACACTACGATGTCCTTTTCGAAGTGTAAGAAGCTGAAAGTAGAGTTAAACAAAAATGAAGTGGAGAAATATAACAGGATATAGAAGTAAGAGACAGAAGAGCTGAGAAAAGGAAACAATTATAGTAAAACCCGTGGAGATAAAATCCATATTGAAAAGAGAAAGAAGATAAAAGCCTACCAAAAAGTTTTAAACGGTGAAGTGGTACAGTACACAGCCCTAGTCTGTCTTCCATGGCTAATTACATAATAACACAGAGGAGACCGATCACAAAGAACAGGCTTGTTCAGGCTTACCGTTCTGGCTCCAGGTTGGGGTCTGACAATGGCTTTCTTGTTGGCTGAGTCCCCAGATGTCATCCAAGACATCACATGAAGACACAAGGGCTGCACGAGAGACCTGGCCCAAGAGGCTTTCACAGCACACTCATCTTTATATAACCCATTAGCCCATCTGTCCATTAACCCATTCATGAGAAAAGAACCGTAAGACCTCTTAAAGGTCCCATCTGGTCTCATTTCTTCGTGAGTCATAAAAGAGATCACGTTTCAATGTGATTTTTAGAAAGGACAGACTATATTCAAACCAATGCAGCTTTCTTTGAAAAGTCCAAGGGAAAAAACGAAATAATGGAATTGGAAAAGAGGAAAGTGAGGGAGGGGACAATAGACACAGCAGAGAGCACGTTGACGATGTGTATATATGGAAATTGTTCCTAAAGATGGCAAAAAAAAAAAAAAAAAGTACGTGAAATGTGTTTTTTAACCAGAAGTGAAGATTCAGCAAATTATTCCAGGATGGGGGTGGGGGATGGGGGCAGAGATGTTATAGATATTCAATGAGACTTGCCGCATGAAAAAAATTAGAGATACATGTTTCTCTCTACCAGCAACACTAGTTGACAGAAAGACAGTGGGATAGTAACCACAGTTAGCTGTGGTGGGCAGGCCATAAGTGATTTGATTAAACTTATTGTTACTTACAATGGAAGCGAAAAGGTTTACCAAGATGGAAGTTTTCAGCTGGGCATGGTAGTACATGCCTGTAATCCTAGTACTTGAGAGGCTGAAGCAAGAAGATTGCAAGTTCAAGGCCAGCCTGGGCTACATAGTGAAATCTTACCTCAAAAAAGAAAATAAATTAAAACAAAAAATAATAAAAAAATATTTTTAGCCCTTGACTCTCCTTGCAGAAACAACTTGATAATGAAATTTAGATAATAATCATTAAAAAAAAAAAACATGGGAATGGGTAAGTCATGCTTCAAAGGGATTAAAAGGGGCATGTAACTTAGTATAGAGTTAAGGCTACATATGCCTTATGGGATTCCTTTGATCTATGTTTTGGGGAAAGTATGTGTAAGTCTAAATTTGTGGGTGTATATGTGTTTTCAGCTATCAGTCAGCACTTTTGTCTGGAGTTGTCAAATTCACAAATACAAATGTGATCATATTATGTAAATAAACACAAGAAAAAACACAAGGAAACATTAAAAACAGATAAACAATTACAAATGAGAAGGCAGGCTTAAAACATTTCAAACAAATATAAATGAGGCACACAGCAAAGTTTAATTTCAGATAGGATTAAGAAAAATAAGAGCCCATCTCAGCTATTAGGAGCACTTGACTGCTCTTCCAGAGGTCCTAAGTACAATTCCCAGCAACCACATGGGGGCTCACAACCATCTGTAATGGGATCAGATTCCTTCTTCCAGTGTGCATGAAGACAGAGCTCTCATATTCATAAAAAAAGATATGAATAAATAAAACTTTTAAAAAAGAGCCTGTGATAGAAGATCAGCTGCCTGGTAGAACACTTGCTTAGTATTGTGAGGCCCTGGGTTCAATGCCCAGTACTACAAAAATAAATAAGTAAATAAGTAATATGAACTCAATAGCCTGCTACATCAGCAAGATATTCCCTCAAGGAAAGAAGTAGCCCACATCTGGAATTCTGACCAGAATTCTGAAAACAAATTTATGTCGCTGTAAGACACAAACTTTGTAGCATCCACTGTAGTTGTAACAGGAAACTAATAGTCTCAGAATGGGGCTGAAAGTTTGATTTGGTGTCAAATGAGTGATTATGTCTTTGAATTCCTTACCATGAGAAATGCAATATAGCTGAAGCACAAGACAAGGACTTTAAAACAGCTATTATGAATATGATCAAGGACCTTAAAGAGGATATGAGTAAATCCATTATGAAATTTATGAAAACACAAACAGTGGAATGCAACGAAGTAGAAATAAATCAACAAAGAAAACCTAAACTGAGGGAAAGCTGGAAATGAAAAATTTAGGAATCTGAACAGGAACTTCAGAGGCAAGCCTCACCAATAGAATATAAGAGATGTAAGAGAGAATCTCAAGGATTGAAGACAAGATAGAAGAAATGGATACTTCGGCCAAAGAAAATGTTAAATCTAAAAAATAAAATCCAGCACAAAGCACCCAGGAAATCTGAGACACTATAAGAGGACCAAGCCTAAGAATAATAAGAATAGAGGAAGAAGAAGAAACCCAGGTCAAAGACACAAAAAGTATTTCAAAAAAATTGTAGAAGAAAATTTCCCTAACCTAAAGAAGGAGGTGCTGATCAAGGCACAAGAAGCATATAGAACACCAAACAGACTGGACCAGAAAAGAAATTCCCTCATGACATATAATACTCAAAACATTAAGTGTACAGAACAAAGAAGGAATACTAAAAGCTACAAGGGAAAAGGACCAAGTAACATATAAAGTGAGACCTATCAGAATAACACTTGAGTTTTCAGTGGAGCATCTAAAAGCAGGGAGGTCCTAGACAGATGTTCTACACACTCTATGAGACCATAGTGCCAGTGCAGACTGCTATACCCACAACAGGAGAAAGAAAGACATTCCACGATAAAGCCAAATTTAAGCAATATCTATCTACAAATCCAGTCCTACAGAGGCATTAGAAGGAAAACTCCAATAAAATTAATACACAAAACCCAGTAGCCTTCCTAGAACCCACAGGCTATTATAACCCAGAGACCTAGGTTAGAACCAAACATGATTGGAGGAAAAATTGTCAATGTAATGATGCCTAATGACATTCTACTATACTCATAGATTAGTGTCTAGCCCAACTGTCATCAGAGAGGCTTCATCCAGCAACTGCTGGAAATAGATGAAGACCCACAGTCAAACATTATCAGGAGCTCAGATCCTGTATAAGATGGGGAGAAAGGATTGTAGTGGTCAGAGAAGTCAAGGACACCACCAATGAGAATTGTAATAATTTGTAAAAAAAAAAAATCTGGCAGAATAAAAAGATAAATGAAAGCTATTTTCCAGTGGAAAATCCAGTCAGTGCTTAAGATGTTATTCTTTTATTCTCACACCCGTTGCCTGAGATGGCAGTCACAAGGGCTGGACACGTAGAAAAATTGTTCCTTTGTTCTCATGAACATAGATTGGTCATGTGGTTGGCCAATGAGCAGTGAGCAGCCATGATGTAGGAGTAAAGGGAACACTCATCCATTGCTGGTGAGAGTGCAAACTTGTGCAGCCAGTATGGAAATTAGTGTGGTGGTTATTCTGGAAGCTGGAAATATATCTACCTCAAGATCCAACTATACTAGATTTGGGGCATATACCCAAAGACTTTACATCCTACTCCAGAGACACTTGCTCAACCATGTTCATTGCCGCTCTATTCGTAATAGACAGAAAAAGGAAACAGACTAGATGGATAGATGTCAACAGCCGAATGGATAAAGAAAATGTGGTACATTTACACACTGGACTGTTACTCGGCTGCTAAAAAAAAAATGAAACCATGAAATTCATGGGTAAATGAATGAAGCTAGAAAAAAATTATCCTGAGTGAGGCAACCCAGACCCCAAAGGACAGATACAATATGTATTCGTTTATATGTGGATGCTAGCTGTTAAGTCATTGATAAGCAGGCTGCAATTCATATAACTATAGGTTGGGTATACAGTAAGTGACTAGGAGGAGGGGTGGATCTCCCTAGGAAGAGAAAATGGAATAGACAGTTACAGATGGATGAGGGAGGGGCAATGGGAGGATCAAACGGTGGGAGAGAGAAGAGGAGGGTGAGGAAAGGAATTCAGGGAATCACAAAATAATGAGGTAGACTCAGTTGGGCATCTCTTTTCACCAAATGAAGACTCCAGTTCTAAGAATGGGTTACATCTAATTGAATTGTTGGCCAAATGGGTCCCAAGGCAGCCCTCAAACCCAGGCTATCGCCAAGGCTATTGGTTGCTTTCCACAAATTAACGGTAAGGCCCTACTGATAAAGACAACACCTACACAACTCATTGAATGTGGATAAGTTTAGCCGGTGTCTACCTAGAGTCTTCACCCGTTCTGACTAGTGTTTCATGTTCTGGCAGGTACTCTGCATACTACTAAGGGAGAAAGGTAAACATCAACCCAGTTACAAACCCTTCTATCTACAACAGTGGCCTGCGTGCAAGATGTGCTAATGAAACCGTGACACAAGCTTGTGGACTACCCAACCAATATCTGATTGGACTGAAGGCCCACTCCATGAGATGGAACCCATCCCCCAAACTGCTGCGGTGGCCAAGAGCCTGAGACTATTGGATTGGGGACCTAAGGAAAAAACAAATATTGCTGTTTTGCTAAAGGCATGGAGCAACAAAAAATGACTCCCAATGACATTCTGCTATACTCATAGACCAGTGTCTTGCTCACTCATCATCAGGGAAGCTTTCTCCTGCAGTAAATGTATAGGATTAAGTACAGAGACACACAGCTGGACAAGGTGCAGAGAGTGACAGACCTTGGAACACTCACTTAGTCCTAAAAGGGTGTCTCCATCAAATGTCTCTCCTTAGGGCTCAGGGAAGCCTGCAGATGAGAGGCAGAAAGATTCCAAGAGCCAGAGAAGATGGAGAACACCAAGGAAACAAGGCATTCTGAACACAGCAGGACCGACACACAGGAACTCACAGAGACTATGTCAGCATGCACAGGGCCTACACAGGTCTACTTAGATGTCGTTCAAGTGCTAAGAGCGGAAGTGGACACAAGCCCCCATCCCTAACCCAGAAGCTATCTCCAATTGACAATCACTCGCAAATGAAAAACCAGTTTTCTCCAATGGAGTCTGACTGGGTATATAAACCATGCTTAAGTCCAGGCCCCATGCCCAGCCAACACAAGACAAACTCAATGGTTATGGTGTTCCGTGGTTTTTGTTTTGTTTGTCTCATAATGCTTTTATTGAGTGTCTTCTAATTTTTCTCTAATTCTACAGGTCTTTTGCTTATATACTACGGTTTCTGATGTGTTTTTAAGGGATTTCTGTGTGTCGACATGTGTGTCTCTGTGTCTACACGAATTTCTTGTGCTTCTTCTTTAGTTCTTGCTTTTTCTGTTAACTTGTTTGTTTTGTACTATTCAGGTTTATTTTTTATTTTATCTTATTATTTTTTCTTTAGATGCCTGTTTGTTTTCTAATGAGAGCAATGAAGGACGTAGATTTAGATGGGTGGAGTGGTGAGGATTTTTGAAAGAGTTGGGGAAGGAGCACCATAATCAACATATTGTATAAAAAATATTTTTTCAATAAATAAATAAACAAAATAATTTTTAAATAGACCTACCTGACTCACTCCAATATATAATACCAGAAAATTTAGAGCACCATGAATATGAAAGTTTAAAAATCATACCAAAGATAAAACAGATCCCATCAAAATCCCCAGGAATCCAAATGGCACCAATTTTCTCTACAGCAACAATAAAACATCCAACAGCAGTGAAGAAACACCTTTAAAAATCCAGTGTGCTCATTCCAGCAGCACGTGTATGAACATCCCAACACACAGGATGCTCTGACAGGTAGAACACAAGTTCAAGGTCAGCCTGGGCTGTGTAACAAGACCTTGTTTCCAAAAGGAAGAACTTAACATTTCCAAGAAAGGACCATTCTGAGCCAGAAATTTACAGTTAGACATGCTAGGCTTGTGGAGACAACATTTTTCTTCCTATCCCCCTTAGAAGACACACTGGGCTGCATTCCAATAAACAAAGGAATACAGTAAATATGACAGTGGATCTGGGAAGCAGGCGTCATGGGGAAAAGAACAGCAGTTTCTCAATGAAGCCCTTGTATTTGAATCTGGAGCACTTGCAGGATTCCTCGAATGGCACCTGTCTTCTCTCTCACCTTGGTTCCCAATCAACTGATGAATAAACAAAGGAGCAGCAGGAGGAAGAGGAACTGTCAGCTGTTGCCAAGGAAGTCACTGGGGTGAACAAACCCAACCAAGCCTCCTTAACTGACCCCAGAGCTGGAGCAGAGGCCTGTGAACATGGACTGCTGTGGGAAGTCCCAGCCTCGCAAGCTCCATCATACATGGGCAAGTATCTACTCTGACTATATAACCTGACACCCCCAACCTGTTTACTCTGACTATATAACCTGACACACCCAACCTGGGAAAATGATTAAAGTGATTCATTCCAACACTATGATTTGAGCAACACAAGTTTTAGTTCAGCAATCAAGAGCCAAAGGCAGTGGCACACTCTTGAAGGCTTGTCTTGTTTGAGACTAAGGCATGTGACTCCCCCTTAGTATCGTGACTTTCATTTTATGTTCAAATTCTGTGAACCACAGATGGCAATTAGGAATGAAGACAGCAGAGGCTCATTCTTTAAGTGGGCTGTTCCGATTCCAGGCATCATCCTGCAGTCTCCCTTACCAGTGTTGTCTGTAGTTCCCTGCCAGTGTGGCTCTGAGAGACAAAGGGCCACCCTGGAGGTCACCCAAGAAGTCCCGACTGGAACCAGGAAGACAGCCAAGACTTTAGACTCCAAGTCACCGCTGAAATCAATAGACCTGGCTGCCCTCCTCTGGGCCTTGCCTCAGCACTGTGCTCAGGGCTGGTGTTCAGAAGCCAGGAGGCTAAGCTGGGCTTGCAAAGAGAAGCTGACTTTTAACCTCCTGGGCATTTAAAACCAGAAAAATTCTTGTTCCTACTGTAAAAATATTAGCCATTCATTATTTCTCAATAGCTAAGCAGAAGAAGAAAGCCATCGTTGGGATGTGAGGTGTAAGTGTTACTGAGATGTTCTGTGTGAAAGGGAGAGGATCCTAAACTTGCCCCTCACCCCAACGAGTGCTTTCACTGCTGTGGTTCTCATTGAACTGGAAGAGAAAGACCACAGACAAAACAAACAAAAACCTACCACCAAAAGCAAAGAAAAGCAAAGTCAGCTCAGGTTAGGGACCTAAGGAGACCATCTTTACAGAGTGCCAGGATTCCATTTGAATATTACACCATGGTTTTTAAATAAGCAAAATAGGTTCTCTTACAAAGCAGACTTCTGTTGACCCTGGACCAACTAGTGGTAGCAGAAATGCATTAGACCTGCCTAAGCCTGTCATCTCAATAGGAAAATGCACTAACCTTGTCTGTCATATTCCATGAGCAAAACTGCTAAGAACTCAGGCTTGGGAGATGATGTTGGGCTCAAGTGTGATCTGTTTGATGTTGAGCAAGGCCTTGGTTTCTTCATCTGTGAAATGAGAATTGTAATAATTGGTAAAAAAAAAAAAAAATCTGGCAGAATAAAAAGATAAATGAAAGCTATTTTCCAGTGGAAAATCCAGTCAGTGCTTAAGATGTTATTCTTTTATTCTCACACCCGTTGCCTGAGATGGCAGTCACAAGGGCTGGACACGTAGAAAAATTGTTCCTTTGTTCTCATGAACATAGATTGGTCATGTGGTTGGCCAACGAGCGGTGAGCAGCCATGATGTAGGGCTTCCAAGGTGAAGCCTTAAAAGCCAGCCCATGTTTTCCATGACCATAAGCAGCAGTGTTCCTACTTAGGAACCAACCTGCAACCTAGAACGAGGGTGACATAGCAAAAATCACCAGGGTCAGGTTGTGTTAGGTCACTGTGATATCTGAGTCTCCTGTTACCACGGCACAAGCTACTCCTTCCTGATTGGTTTTAAGTAACACTAGACAGCTTCTGATTATTCATCTCACAGACACTCATCATGTTGTGCAGGCTGAAACACACAGGCCGATTCTTGATTTCAAGGGCTCCTAAAGAGGAAAATGTCAGGGTTGTGGTCTGGACCCTACAAGCTCTTAGCAGAGGATTTTCATCTTCAGGCCTGAGGGAAGCCTGGGAACTGCCAATGCTATGAACTCTGAATCCTTCACAGTTTTTGATAGCATGGAAGCCAAACACGGTAATAAGGGTGCACAGAAAGCAGGGGGATGTGGGGAGAATGAGGAAGGGCAGCTAAACTGATTCTGTGCTGTTCACCATCACTTTATAATGATTTACTACAGTTTTTGGGTTCCCCCCCATTTGCTTTGTTTTTAAATTATTAAATTAAAAGTAGTTTTAAAGATTGGTAATAATTTCTATGAGACTGGAGATAATGACTTTTAAAACAAATCCTGCCAAATAAAGAGTGCAGTGCCAGCTGGTCAATATCTCCCTCTAGTTATCTGTCTGAAGTGTTATGGTGGCCACTAATGCAATGAAGGCTATTGCCACTGCTCTGCCTTGCGCACTGGAATTTTATGGTAAGACCCTATTGCTGAAGACACCAGGCACTTTGGTCATAGGATTTGGAGAAATCAAATTGGTAATGACCAGGAAACTTCTGCACTGCTGGATAGCTCTCATAGTCCTGGAAGGTGCTAGGAAAGCTGCCAGTCTTCAACAGTCTTAGGCAGCTGTGAACACTTTGAATACAATTAGGGATCTGTCTGGCAAGATATTCCCATGTGTGCAATGGAGGCACAAATGTCATGGAAGTCACCAATTGTTTTCTGACTGGATTTAATGCCTCCTCCACAGGAGGAGACACCTGCCTGGTACTATAAAAGTGGACAAGAACCCATGGTCAAAGGGCTCATAGGCCCCAGGGGTAAATTCTAATATAATTATTCTGCTAAAACGAACATAGTATCAAATTGCTTTCTAAGTTTAGATCTCTTCACTCATAGATTAATGCAGCTCTCAGACCTCAACAGAGAACTTCCTTTGTGTACTTGATAGTGGTTAGCACAGAAACTCACAACTGATCATAACACAGAGAGTGTCAGTGTAGTGTTCAGTCACAGTAGAACATCTATATAACACCCTTCTCCATGGCTCAGAGACCATCAAGGAAAATGGGACAGAAAGAATCTAAGACCCAGAGCAAAACAAATGTCTTGTGGATGTGATGGGACCACTGTACTCATGAACTCACAGCATCTATGACTGTCTGCACAAGATCTGTGTAAGATCCAGCCAATCCACACTCTAGCATGGAGGGAGGTGTGGTTTGTTAACCCTTTACTGGGGAGCTATTGATAGTTGATGGCTTCTGGGGAGAGAAGAGACAGTTTTCTTAAAGGGTGTGGCCCCTGGGAGGCTGACCACCCTCCAGTGGACGCCCCATACTCATGTGTACGTGACCAACACAAATTGGACCTACTGGGACATGAAGGTGGGGGATAATGGTAAGATGGATCAGGGAGGAGTCAAGGAGAGGTACGGGGAGGGGCAGATATCATGAAAATACATTGTATGAAGTTCTCAAAACTTAAGAAAAAAATATTACACTAAAGAAAGAAATACTGAAATTGTAAAAATAAACAGGCAAAGCAACAAATTTCTAGAGGTGGAATGAGAGTCACAGTGACACCTGAGAATTCCATTTTAGCTTTATTAATTCAAGTGTGACCCATGATTTTTGAAACCTTCATATTGGTTTTTGAAAGGCTCCTAGGGAATTATCCAGAGAGCCCACTATTCTAAGCTGATAATTACTAACCACTCCCACTAACTCTGTATTCAAACAAAGTGCTAGTTAATAGAAGGGTAACTATGATGGCAACCAATGTTTACATGTGCATAGTGTATATTTATCACTTTTAAAGTTGGCTTTTTACTAAATGTCTAAAGAGACTCACTGCTGACTCTTGACAAAGGAGTTGATTAAGCTTCTGTTTGGCAACTCCAGTTTTCTCAGGAATGTCCCGGTGATCAAGCAACAAGTGGATGGATATAGCTGTCCTTCGGCTCTGGCTTCAGGGCAGGTGTCATAGACAAGTGAAGGCTCTCTATCACTACAGTGATGCACTTCCAGTTTTCTCAATTTTCACGGCAGCTCATTGTCAAGTTCTTGTTCAATTGCCAAATGAAGACACGCTGAAGCTGTCAAATACTGCTAGCTGTTCATCCAACATCCATTTCTCCTTCTCTGTTTCAAACAAAGCCCTGCTTCTCTGAAACATAAATATGAACCCAGTTAGAAAACACTTCATACTCCCTTGCAGCTAAGTGTAACCATGAACAAGTCATGCCCATTCACATGGAGATGTGGTATGACAGCATCCTTCTATAAATAAAAAGGGAAAGCTCAGCAAGGAAGTCTGATTTCTTTTTATCCGTCATTATTTCTTAATTCCTGTCTGGAACACAAACATGATACCCCCTAAATAGGCAACAACTCTGTAGCACTGAAGACAAAAGCTATACATTAAGATGAGACAGCATACACTTCCGAATTCTAAGGCTGGCATCATAGAGCTCTCAGACAAATGCTAGACAGTATGCTTTCAGGTTTCTTTTTACTTGAGAAAAATAAAGTATTGTTTGGTTAAGTCATAGAAGCTAAGTTTCTGTTATATGTGACCAAGTGTGAAACCAGACTATACAGCCTGCAGATTCTGGTGTTCATCTGAGTCTCATTCCCCTTTCTACCAAATGGAGAGTTGGTGACCTCTCTGGGAAGAGATGAAGGGAATTGAACATTGATAAAGGTCCTGGCAGGAAACAATATGACATGATTACATTTGTAAATTTTCTGGCTGGCTTCAAACACAGAGATCCACTTGCTTCTGCCTCTTGAGTTTTAAGTGTTGTGTGACACTACTCCTGAGAAGACATGAACAAACAGCAATTTCACCCCAGATAGGAACCGATGACAGACCAAAGAACCCCTGTCTTAGTCAGGGTTTCTCTTGCTGTAAAGAGACACCATGTCCATGGCAACTCTAATAAAGGAAAGCATTTAATTGAGGTGGCAGCTTACAGTTTCAGAGGTTTAGTCCATTATCATCATGGTGGAGAGCACGGCAGCATGTAGGCAGGCATGGTGCTGGAGAAGGAGCTGCTACATCTTGATATGCAGGCAACAGGAAATAGACTGAGTGTCACAGAATGAAACTTGAGCAAAAGAGACCTCAAAGCCCACCCCCACAGTGACACACTTCCTCAAACAAGGCCACATCTCCTAAAAGTGTCACTCCCTTTAGAGACCATTTTCTTTCAAACCACCACAACCACTAAAGTCCAACTTGATGAACCAATGAAGTTTATTTGTGATTCTCACAGAAATAGGGATGAGGGGTTAATTGTAGGAATAGAAATAACTCAAACACAGATATATCATCAAAATCCCACACCACCATGGATGGCAGTTCATAAAAGCTAGATACCTGGACTGTGCTCCACAGACTTTAGGAAGCTCAGTAAGTTAGAAGATGTTTGTCACTAATTTGGTCTGAGCTTCTTGCAGGCAACTTGGCTGGTCTTTGTTTCTTCAAGGCACTTCAGCAGATCTCTGCTTCTTCTAGGTGGCTGGGCTGGTCTAGGCCTCTTTCTAGGCAGCTAAGCTTGTCTAGGAGACTTCGTTGGACCTTGTCTTATCTCAAGCCTTCCCTTAGTTGGTCTGAGGAGTCTTTAGTAGCTTATATACTCTTTGGGGGAGGGTAGTGAATTTGGTCTGTTTCAGGGACTTCCTGAAGCTATCTTAGGTTGTTTACTTCTGGTCTTAAGGCCTTTAGCGGCTTCCCTGTAGGATGGGGTATTTCACTTCCCCTTAAAAATACCAATTGTTTCACTTCCCTGTAAGCTTCCTGTCTTAAATATTCTGCTGTTTTGCCTCCCTTTTCACATTCTATGTTTTAAATTGCTAACTAAGGTGAAAGGTTTGAATGTTGGAGGAAACTGGTACACAGCTAACATATTTAGGCTATTCCCACTTTCTTCTTCTTAGTGTCTGCTGCCTGGGGGAGATGGGGATTACTCAGTCAATAAAGTCAAAACAAGGGAAGGAAAAGCTGAATGAGGACCCTCGGGTTCCATTTGTATAGAAATTTGTAGAATAAATGCATGATTGTTTTCTTCTTTCTAAAGTGCTTTTGCAATATGAATTGGTTCTCTCTGCCATCAGCAGTTACCAATCTGTTGGGTTGTTGTGGAAACATTATGAACTTCTGTTGATGGGCTGAAGCAACAATCTCTTGCAATAATCTCCTGATGTTAAAGTTGACTCATCATGATCAATGTGAGTCTATCTGGGTCATTTCTGGAGTCTTTCTTGACACAGTCTTAGTATTGGTTAACTGCTTCCTTCCTTCTCCTAAGTGTTTGTGAATAAAATGGAGTGCTGTCTGAGATTTGCTTCATGGTGAGGGCACTAGAAAAGGGGCTAGATATAAAACACAACTGGCCAGGTAGTCAATAATTTTGCAAGGCTATAATAGCCCCATAAAGGCTTGCTGCATTCTTTTCTTACATCTGTGTGTGCGTGTGAAATTTCCCAGAACAAAAAGTAAAGGTTTATTTTCTTTTTAAGTTCAGCCCATGACTTTCAAAATAAAATTTTTAACTTCTCAGTAAGACAATAGCCTTGAACATCTGGCTCTGTTGAAGAATGAAGGGCTCTTAAGTTCCCGAGGCTTCCCTTGGTTTGGCAAGACAACCCTGGAGATCTGAGTAAATCTCTGGTAGGCTGCAGAAACAGAAAGATGGAGTGCAAGAAGGGTCCCTAATGCACAGAAAACTTCTAAGGTTTCCTAGGTAACCTCATCCATCAGGTTAAAAAATGTTACCCTCAACAGCTAGTTTGTTCCACTTCCTACTCATTGGCCCAGACTCTTGACTTGATCCCTGGAGAACTGGACTCAGTTTCTCCTGGTTAAGGGGATCTTTGCAAGTAAGGCAGGAAGAAGCACTGGGTTGGAAATCCGGAGGCAAAACATGAGTCTTGTCAGGGACTCCAAAGTGACCCAGTGTCTTGGATAGTGTCATCATAAAGGTAAAGGTTATCTTGCCAGACTAAAGACCCTTCAGTGTCTCATCCTAGTAAACCAGAAGCTTGAATTCCTCCTGGGGCTGAGAACAGTGCCCCAAGGCCTGTACCTTTCTAATGACCATCTTTCCCACCTTTGCATAGTAAAGAGAGATCACTATCCCTGCAGATGATTGGAGAGGAGGTGGCCCACTACAGGCGACCCCAAACTTAGCAGCACTTTCGGGCTTCGGGAAACGGGTGCGGCAGGGACCTGTACGATTTCTCCTCTGTGCCCTTGCCTGCCTGCACACCCTGACCCGGTCCCCACTGCAGAGAAATCTGACAGGCGGCAACGGCGGGCGTGGCCCGCGCAGGAGGCGCGCAGGGCGGGAGGGCGCGGAGCTGCGGCTACTCCCGCGCCGCCGGAGAGGGAGGGGCCCAACGCCGCCCGCCAGCCCAGCTCGCCACCGCTCGCCGCGGCTCAGTGTCCTCAGGAGCCCAGCTCTGGCCGGCGGAGGCGACGGCCAGCACAAGCCCGGGCCCCGGCGCGGGAGGCGGAGGCCGGCGGAGGCGCGGCCCAAGCGGCTCGGCGTGCGAGCCCTGCTCACCGGTGCGGGTAAGTGCGGGTCCCCGGCTCTGCGGCCGCCTAGCTGCTGGTCCCCAGGCGGGTCGTGCGCATCGCGCTGCTGCGCCGCAGGCTCACAGGTGGCCCCGCGGCGGATGTGGCGCCCCAGGCCCAGCTCCTAGTTAGCCAACTCTCTCCGCTTGGGGACGCGGGTTGCCAGCCCCTGCTTGGCCCACCCGCGCTCGTCTCGGAGCGAGGGCACCGGCAAGAGCCTGACTTAGGAGGGAGGGGATGCGCAAAGGTGCCCCCCCCCCACACACACACACACTCCACTAGCTATCCGGGAAGCAGTGGAGCAAGCACCACCCCAAAGGCATCGCAGCTCCCGGCTCACAGGTGGGGTCCAGCTACCCTTTCATTTTATTTTCTTATTGACCCTCCATGGAAAAAGTTTAAGATCATGCAAGGCAAAGTTGGGGCGCAGCTGGGGGCACATCCCAGAGAGCAGAGCAATGGATTTTTCAGAGCTCACCCTGGAGCTGATCTTGCGCCCTAGGAGTCCAACCCTGCCTCTAGCCCTGACCCGGCACTGTGACAATCCCTAGAGCGCTGCCAGTCGCTTAATCACGGGTGCTAAGCATAGACATCTGCAGCCTGCCCGGCATCCGATGGACTAGGGTTATCTGAGGAGCGGTAACAACTCAGCCTGCATTGACTGCTAGTCTTGCTCTGCTCCAGCTAATCCCAGTGTGCAACTGGCGTGTGTTTAATTAGCTTATTTTACACCTGAAGTGATCTCGGAGGACGCTCCTAAAATGAAATCATTGGCACCGAAAAAGAAAACAAAAACAGGAAATGTAAAGGCTTGTTTAGGAAAAGAATCTTGACTGTAGGAGCAATCGTGTGGGATACTTTACCCACCTCTTCCGTGGAACAGCGAATCAAAACTCTGCTTTGCATATCTGGCATACAGGATAGGTGTTGGGGATACTGGGGGAGGATATTATGGACAGAGGTGTTGCTGCAACTTGCATGTTGTTTACGAAATACACATTTGGTCTCTCCAAATAGCCTCCTGGTCATGTCACTGTGCTGAGCTTTGTTTAAGCTACTGAAAATAAGACTAACGGGTTTTTGTTTTTTTTTTTTGGTTGTTACTGTTCTAAAGCTCCAGCTGAAAATGGTATTTAGATGCTTTAAGAAAACAGCTTTTTCGTGTCGCCAGGACATTTTTTTTTTTTTTGTAAGCTTAAATATTTAAAGAGCAGGTTTTCTGTATCTGACATGAGACACTTTCATGAAAAATAGCTATGTGAACAGGAAAGCAGTATTACTACCTCCCCAAACCACCCTTTCCAAATGATAGGTTCAATCAGAAAATGCACCGAATTACATAATTGTTCTAGAAGAAAACATAATGGATAATGGTCAGTTGTCAAGAACTTAGCCCTGAAAGAAGTGGGACCATTTTAGCACTGAAAGATGTTGCACGGCTTCAAATGGATAAATTGACTTCCACCTATAAATTTTTTATACTTACACACATCTCAGCTGTCTAAACCTAACATCAGATGTGTTGAAATATTTACTTGGTTTTATACGTGTGTGATTATGTGTCCATTCTAGAGACCACTTCTTCCAAGGGCTACTTCTGTTTTAATCATCTTAAAGCAGTTTGTGAGAATATAGTTCAGTGGCAGAGTTATTGTCTGGAGTGTTTGAGGTACTGAATGTAATCCTCAGTGCCCTCCCTACCCCTGACACACACACACACACACACACACACACACACACACACACACACACACAAAGCAATTCTGGCTGATTGGCAAGGATTTTAATTGTCTATAACTGTCCCAATCTCTCTCTCTCTCTCTCTCTCTCTCTCTCTCTCTCTCTCTCTCTCTCTCTCTCTCTCTCTCTCTCTCTCTCTGTGTGTGTGTGTGTAGTGAGGGATCAAACCCATGGTCCCATGCATGCTAAGTAAACACTTCACCCTAGCTCTGTTCCCCAGTTTTAAAATAAGGAAACCCAGGGCTGGAGAGATGGCTTGGCTTAGAAGTTAAGAGCACACACTGCTCTTGCAAAGAACCCGAGTTTGGTTCCCAACACCCATGTTGGATGGATCACAACTGCCTGTACCTCCAACTTCAGGAGATCCTAGGGCCTCTTCTGAACTCCCGAGGACCCCTGCACTCTTGTGTGCACATACTCATACACAGACACACATAATTACAATTAAAAGAAATCTTTATAAAATAAAATAAGGAAACTGGGGTACAGAGACATTAGGTAACTTACCTGTGAACACGTACTATAGGACAAGACTTTATTGTATCTGCAAAGTTATTTTTATAGAAAGATAAGATTTTGTGACCTACTTACCTTTGTTGTTGTTTTTATTTAAGTATAGCTGGTGAAATCTTCCTGTGAAGAATAAGGATCCCTAATTGTAGAAGTGCCCCACAAGCACCATTCACTAGAAAGCCAGGAACAGTATGACAGAACCATCTAGCCGAATCTAAAGTGTGAAGACCACCATATCCACCAGAAGACCCAGGATGGATCTGCACCACAGTACCACAGTCAGGCTCCTGGAGAAATGGTGTTCCAATGAGTCACCATCTGGCTGCAGGAGACATTATAATGCCAGGAAAAAACTGAAGCTAATTCGAGTCATTGGCCTTGTCATGGGCCTGGTAGCTATGAGCACTGTCCCATTCTTAATCAGTGCCTTTACTGAGACAGACACTCAGAGCAACCCAGGAGAAGCCAGTGATATGAGTGGCCCTCAGGTAGCACAGGGTCACCGTCAAAGAACTCTCTTAGATTTAAATGACAAGATTCGAGATTACACCCCACCGCCACCTGCTTCTCAGGAAGACAAAGCTGAGAACAGCACTGATCATGAGCAGGGAGACTACCCAAAGGACATCTTTTCCTTGGAGGAGCGCAGAAAAGGTGCCATCATCCTCCACGTCATCGGGATGATCTACATGTTCATCGCCTTAGCCATCGTCTGTGATGAGTTCTTCGTCCCTTCCTTGACTGTTATCACTGAAAAACTGGGCATCTCTGATGATGTGGCTGGAGCCACCTTCATGGCTGCAGGCGGGTCAGCCCCAGAACTTTTCACGTCTCTCATAGGGGTCTTCATTGCTCACAGCAATGTTGGCATAGGCACCATCGTAGGTTCAGCCGTGTTCAATATCCTCTTTGTTATTGGCATGTGTGCACTGTTCTCTAGAGAAATATTAAACCTGACGTGGTGGCCGCTCTTTCGGGATGTGTCCTTCTACATCGTTGATTTGATCATGTTGATCATATTTTTCCTCGATAACGTTATCATGTGGTGGGAAAGCTTACTCCTCTTAACAGCTTACTTTGCTTATGTGGTTTTCATGAAGTTCAACGTCCAAGTAGAAGGATGGGTGAAGCAAATGATAAATCGCAATAAAGTTGTCAAGGTGACAGCACCAGAAGCCCAAGCAAAGGTCGGTGGACGTAGTCTTTACTTAACCATTTTCTTAGCCATCGTTCTGAATGCAGCTGTTTTGGCAATTGGCAGCTTGGTTTTGTTTTTGTTTTTGTTTTTAACTATAATGATCTTTGGGCTATCGTGGTAACAGATTACATACTGCAGTTTTGTGAGAGCCAGTGAAAATGACAGTAGAAAAGGTAATTTGGGAGACATTGGTCTACAACTCTACCAAGTTTCCAAGCTACTACAGAGTTAAAAAGAACAATATAAATACAGGTTACATAAGCATCCCAGGGCAGACTCAGCATTGACTTGTTTTTAGGAAAATGTGCCCAGTGATTTTGTGAGCAATTGAGTTTTTATGGACATATTCTTAGCAATGTGACAGGGTTTTGTTTTTCAAATGAGCATATAGTGGAGATCAAGAACCATCTCTGTAAAGATGGTGAGGGGAGAAAGTTTGTTTTATGAGAGCTGTACCCTCCAGCAGCAGCTTGGGCTCAACAGCAGTTTGGCTTTGCTACAGTGGCTATAGTGATTTGTCCCTTTCTCTTTAAGTCAGTTTTATTTCATGGTGCTGGGGACTGGACCCAGTGCCTCTCACATTGCTAGACAGGTACCCCGAGACTGAGTGACGCCCCAGACCTATGCCTGCTTTTCATGATCCGAGTGTTCTTATATGAAACAGATCAGCATCCACTGTAAAGGAACTCACTGGCCAGCCCTGGCATCTGCCTCTGTACTGCAGTAACCCATTTTGCAAACCGTAATAAACATGACCCAATGTACTTTCACGGGAGAATTTGAGGTAATGTTGCTTAATTAGGAAGCAGATCTGTAAAAAGCTTAAAAGAAACTGACCTGAAAAAAATACAACTTAAAGAAAAACAATAGATGAACAGCATCAGTGAATTTTTATATAATTTCATAATTATGCAGCATTCTGATTTATAGCCTAACTTTAAAAAAGGTCATCTTTGAATGTGGTTTTAAACAGAAAACCCAAGTTCATAACAGAAACTTTCCATGTTTGCATGTGGGAAAATTTTCACACATACTTTAAAAAAAACATGTTTGAGTAGTGGTAGGAGATTTGATCCTAAAGAGAAGAAAAATGATACTATTTTAGTTAAATTTGCATAATTCCTTTATAGACTAGGTTGATGATCATGATTTTTGTAGTAACCACAAAGTAAAAGCAGAATGAAAAAAAAATCACTAGTAATACCTACATAGACAACAGACAGAGTATACATTAAAACGTGCAGAAGAGAAATGTTTTACCATCTTTATCATGCACATGTGCACGATGTGTGTCGTCAGTGGGTACCTAGGCCACACCGTATGTGTCAGTCAGAGGACAACTTGGCGGACTTAGCTTCTTCTTTCATCTGTATGTGGGTTCAGGGAATCAAACTCTAGTCACCAGGTTTCTGTAACAAGCGCCTTCACCCGTTGAGATATCTCTCTGGCCCAAGACATGTTTATACTATATATTTCTTCCAACATTTGTTTCAGTGTGTGCTTGTTGAAAGCTGTAGTTTATAAAGTTGCTTGACACCATATATAGCAAGCATGCATTCACTTGTGACAGCTGAGGACATGCCCTTCATGGCATTTGACAAGGGCATATTTTATGCTCTGTGCTCTACCTTAATAACAAAAAGGATGTCCCTCAACTTCTCTTCAAATGTGTTTGAGTGATTTGCTTAGTAGTCTGTGAGCTATTTCAATCAAAATACTGTACAGTTCTCAGGAAAAGCCATAGTTTTAAGAAGCAAGAAAGTGGTCTGGCACCCTAGAAATACCCTGGGGACATCAACAGTAAAAAGTCTTTTGAGTAACTATGCCTTGGGACTTTTTTTTTAATGCTACTGTTGACCTTCTTTACTTAGATATACTTGGTTAAAAATTGTGTTGGCCATATTTGCAGATGCTGTTGGAACTCGGAGTTGGTATTCTGATTTGAGTCAGGGTAGGAATGCAGCTGGTTCTTGCACCTGGGAAATAACTTTTTATACACAGGCCACAGAGTGCACTCAGTCAGTCATAATCTGTTCATTAACATAGAACTGGTAGAGCTTTTCCGTGCTTAATTAGATGATTGTCGTGTCACGTCTCTGGTCATTTATAAGTCAGCAATTCGGGCTGACATTCCTTACCTGATGGTTTTTGTATCCATAATTTTATTCTTTTTTTTTTTTTTTTTTTTTTGGTTTTTCGAGACAGGGTTTCTCTGTGTAGCTTTGCGCCTTTCCTGGAACTCACTTGGTAGCCCAGGCTGGCCTCGAACTCACAGAGATCCGCCTGGCTCTGCCTCCCGAGTGCTGGGATTAAAGGCGTGCGCCACCACCGCCCGGCCCATAATTTTATTCTTAATTCTGTGTTTTTTTAATTTGGAAATTCTGAGTATAGCTTATTTTTATCGTAAAGATAGTGGTTATAATCCTAAATATTTCCACATATGTTGATCCTCTTATTGTCCTTTCACACCACACAGTTTTCATTTATTTAATAATCATCATTTCTTTTGGCATTTGATAACTAATTGGAGTGGGTGGTTTATTTGGTTTTTTTTTGTTTTGTTTTTGTTTTTGTTTTTGTTTTTGTTTTTGTTTTTGTTTTCTCAACAGAGCTGTGTCTTGCTTGAGCACACCCATACGTTTTCAAGCGGGATGGTTCATAAGAACCTGATTTCCTTTAGGAAACTGTACCTTGTCAGTTTCTCTGTGGAATCACTGCTGGAACTTTGAAGTAACTCCAGCCCTTATCACCTTCCAGGTTTCAGAATCCTGTAGCACTTGCTCCCCAGCTCTGAGCACAGATGTCTCCGGAGGGCTGGGTTGAGTATAACCATTTGCCTTCTGGTATGCTGAGCTCACTTTGACTCCAGGAGCTTCTTTCTGTGAGTCAGTGAGTCAGTGCTCTGTTGTCATCAGGCCACTTAGAAAGAGAGTCCCTGCATGGAATGTAGCTCACCGACATCTCCGTAGGAAGAAGTGTACTATATAGGTATATAGTATAGTAAATACTAGCCTGTTTTGTGCAAACTCACCTCCTTGCCTTGTTTTTGCAATTACGGGGCAGGAGAGTTTGAGAACATGAAGAAAACACATTTCAGATAACCTCACACAGATCATCAGATGGTCCTTGCTAATCAGCTCTTCTGGGCTCAGCACAGTGAAATGGCTTTCAAATGACTCACTTCAATAAGGAAGTTGGAAATCTTAATTTGGTTCCATGATGGATGATCTGTGCCAGGAAGCAATGGGCTGTGACCTTAGAGAAATTGGGAATTCTTTTCCTAAAGTGTTACTGCCCCATGTGTGTTTTTCAGGTTTTTGTTTGTTTGTTTGTTTTCAAATTTCCTTTGGTGATACCACTACCCTCTTCAAAAAGTTCCATAGTGTCATGACATGATACAGAGGCCCAGGCAGGAAAGGTTTTGCTGTTGTTGTTTTTAATTAGTTTTTTGAGAGTGCCATACAGTATATTTCGATCATATTTGTGCCCCCTAACTTTTCTTGGCTCTACCCCCTCTTCTTACCTACCCAACTTTGTGTCCTTATTTTTGATACTTAAAGACCAATTTGTGCTGCCCAAATATTCTTGGATGTGCGGTCTTCCCCTGAAAGGGATATAGAACATATTTTCTCTTTAGGGCCAAACATTCTTCAGTCTCTTATTCTCTGCACCATGGCGAGCTGGGGTCTCTGTGTTAATCACCATCTACTGCAAATTGAAGCTTCTCAGATGAGAACTGAGAGATGCATTGACCTATATGTTTAATAATGAGTCATTAAGGATTGGTTTAATACTCTGTCCATTTAGCAAATAATATTAGTAAGTGCTCTGGGGCCTTTCTCTTATTTAGCCACAGGCTCTTGGCTGTATAATGGTGCCAGGTATAGGTTTCATCTTTGGGAGGGAGAATAAAATCTAATAGAAAAGGGGGTTGGTTACTCCCATGATATTGGTGCCATTATTATACCAATGCGTATGTCTTGCCAGGTCAGTCATTATTGTAGCTTACAGGTTCATAGATGAGTATAATTACTGATTAGTTTTCTCCTCTGGTAGCATGCCTACTGCTTTTCAGCACTATGAAAACTAGCTAGTAGAGATAAAGCTTCCAGGTCAGCAGCAGTTTGATTTCTCTATGTTCTGTGACTCAAGTATATGGTGTCTTCAGAAACAGGATCTTATGGTCCAGCTGTGGTGAGTAGCCAAAAGCATGAGAAATATAGCATGTAATGTTTGAGGGTCCATGAGACCTCTCTGGCCAATGACTCCAAAAGAAATAACTCATTCCTGGTGCTGGGCTTTTTATTTGATAGGCTGTGGTGTCTAGTGGAGGTATTGTTGCCCTGCTATGAGCAACTCCATTTTATCTCTCAATGTATGTGTGTTTATTATAATAGGAAATTTCTACTGCAGAAAGTTCCTGTGTGTCACTTTTGAAAGGTTTTTAGTGTTATTTATCCATCTCTGTACTTCCTCCTCTAACCCTGTTCGCTGTTCCCCCTATGCCAATTTAACCCTTCCTATTACGTTACTCCCCTCTAACCCTTTATACCAATGCATTCTATTTCCCCTCCCATGAAACCTGTCCCAACTTCCCTGGGTCTCAGGAAGGGGTTTTATACCCATCTATGTAAACAAGCATCTAGTATGTGGCAAATGTAGTTTGGTTGGTATATGTTGGTTCCCTTCTTTTACTGTTCCGTTCTTAAATGAAAAGTGAATCAGGATGAGTGATTATAGGCTTGACTTATAAAAGCATTTCTTGAAGGTCGAATTTACTTTAGTGGCTCACTGGGTTAAGCAGGTTGCTGTGCTTCTTGGGGGATGTATTTACTATGTTATAACATTCATAAATCTAGTTGTGTACAGTGAATACCTGTGGTTCTCATGATATCATAAACACCATTGAAACCACTTTTTTTGTCCTGAAATTTTACTGCTTAGAATATTGCTTGAAATAAGGAGACCATTTGGAAGTGGCTCAGAAAT